CATCTGTGTGTGTGTTTGTGTGTTTCTTTGTGTATGCTCTCACTGTTATTGCCAGGATCAGCTTCTGTCTGTTTATGTTTGTTGTACAGAGTTTCCTTTGCTAAATTGTGTGGAAGCCAAACAGCTCCCATCAGTAAACCAGGCAGAAAGGGCTGCGTATCCCGCTACGGGATCCAGGACATGCCAGGGGGACCACATACACAGGCACATACACATACGCACAATGGGAGTACCTTATTCTCCCTGACTCACAAGCACACATCAACTCACTAATTAACTGACAGTTAGCGAGAAAGACAGACACACACTGTATATATGTGAATGTGGGTGTGTGTGTTTGAGTGCAAAAGGTATATACTGATTATGTTAGGATATCACTGAGAAATCAAGATTATTTGGGTGGGTTGATAGACTTTCAGCAAAAACTGAGCAAATGTGCATCTTCCAATTATGCATTACTTCTCTCTCTTACACTCAAAGCGATATAGGTCATGGCTGTCAGACTAAGGATTCTGTCATCAGCCCTCACCCTTCCTCCTTTCTCCATCACTCCTAGCCTGAGGGTTGAGTTCCCATACCTCGTCCATTTGGACCCTCAGTAAGTGTACTGTATGTACAGTAGAGACCTCACACCCAATGCACATCTCACCCACCCGTTCCATTAGAGGAAAGAAGCACTCACTCTGTTCACTGCCTTTAGGAGGGGGAGTGGGAACTACGACCAAAGATAGGCTAATGCCCCATACCCTGTTTCAACACAAGCTATACAAGCATAACTTTTAGTATTTACAAGTTCTTATTTCTTTTTTGGAACCAAGCTAAAGTTGCATTTTGCCTTCTAAATAGTCTTTGTTGTTAGTTCTTTTTTAAACTCTTTGATTAGTGGACTGTGAGTATTGACAGCCTGCTGTGTGTGATCATCACAACAAACTGACAGTAGGGAGCTCGATAGCCATCCGACCCAGCCTCCAATACCATCTGTCTACTATGGATCTCTGGAGGTTGACGTCTGTTGGCTTGGGAGATGTACACACCACAAGCCTCAAGGGCTGGCAGAACAGAGTTGAAGGAAGTGTGTATGCCCCAATTGAAGCTGTTCAGTCATCTTCACACACAGAATAGGGACTGGTGGAGTATACCCACTCTTTTTCATGATCTCTTTCACTGTCTTTCTCCCTCCATCCCCCTCTCTCACAGAAAAGCAAAAGTGATCAAACGCTACTGTGATGTCTTAATTAAGAAGTACTAACAGGCTTGATTAAAAGAAGAGAATGAAAGGAGTAATTCCCTTATCAGCTAACTGCAACACAAGTGGACGGGAGAGGAGGGAGCGTAAAGGGAAAGTGAAGAAAGAAAACAGGATGCATCAATAGAATGGGAAATATGCAAACAGAGAAGGAACTGAGGCATGACTGAATTCAAACAGCAGCGTGACTGATATCACTTCAACTCCTCAACTTCAATAAAGCATCGACAAGCAAAAGTTCAGCGCAATTAAGACTGGACAGGTTTTCATAAGTGTCCTTCTGCTAGGGAGATATAGCTTGAGAATGAGCATATTTTTGTTTGCATGCAGCACTAACAGAGACATTTGGCTGTCAGGGTAATGCCGCTGCATCTGACCCAAGTTTATTTTTGGGTCACAATCTCCACCATGGGTATGAAAACAAACAAACCAGGCCATTACCAGTGATGGGTGGTTCTCTTACTCTCTTTACCCACACCTCCCGCTCTCCTCTTTCACGTGTCTTTGCACTTTTAAAGGATTCAATTAACCTGAAATGAACTAAGGAATCAAGCAAAAAGATACCGCCTGTCTTCCCTTCACTGCCCTATATTCAGCTTTTCTCCACTCCAGTTCCCTTTTGTCCCATCTGCTCCTTCCAGCTATTTCTCATCTTCCTTTTTCTTAACGTGCAACAGTTTGAGGAAATACAGCAAGAGCAAGGGAGAACCCTGTGCTCAGTTAAAGAAAACGACACATAAAGAAAAGCTTACAATGAAACTAAGAAATGTGTTGTTTCCCAGTCAGATCTTTTCATGAAATCTCCACTGGCTAGAAGAAGAAAAAGGCAAATTTAAGAACTTCGGATTTTAGTAAATACACGAAAGAAAGATAAATACTACATGTTTGTAAAAGACACTTTATCAAGGTAATTTGCTGCTCTGAGAGCAATTGGAAGGCTGGATCATCAGTAATTTGAACACTAAACCAGCTCATAGCCACAAAAGCACAGGCCAGACACAGGAAATGCCCTCAGTACCCCCAAAGAAAAAGTTGAAGGTGTTTTTCTGAAATGTTTAATCATCTATGAGATTTTTAACATAAAATAGCAGCAAACAGCCATTTGTTAGGGTAAGATGGTATTCTTTGACAGTAAAGTCACACCCTCGATGTCTGCCATAATCAAAAAGCTTGTTACAGCTGCGTGTGCACATTACAGCATCTAAGTCCCTTCACACAAGTGACCTCACATAATGCAGTGTAAAAGGGAGATGACATAGCAGACTACCCCCCAAAATAAACAAGAATTGTAAAAAAGAGAGAGATGTGATTATCCCACTTTAAAACACAAAGCATTGGAATTAATAAAATGATTGTTATCATTATTTTCACCAAAGGATAAATCAGATGAGTGGTTATTGGAGGCAATGTGTCTACTTAAAGGAACTTGCTAATTGGCTTAACTTGGTGACTACATTTATATTTTTATATAGAGGCTTTAAAACACAAAGCATGCGATTTATGCATGAAGTATTTTAGTTATGTTATGTATATCTACTCTCTTTAATTTCAGTTCAGTGTCTGCTGCTGTTTCTTGCTGATAATTGTTAGTTTTAGCTCTGCATCATTCAATTTGATTTAGATGTAGTATATACTACCAATGCAATGAGTTTCCACTAAAAACTATTTTTAAAAATGCAAAAAAAGAGGGAACTTCTTTGACACCTCAGAGGTTTACAGGTCTTGCGATGTACCTCTTCAATGTGTGGATTCCAACTGATCTGTGATGTGCCATTTGTTTGATAATCAACTTTATATGTCTCCGTGTCCTCTTACAGAGGCAGCAGACACACCTCTGCCCCACTGACAACCCACAGCCTGACTTTGCAGTGCTGCATACCTCAGCACAGCTGTCTGTTGTCCGTTTCTTCCGATCTCTATCTCTTCCTGCCTCACTCCCCGCTTTGTGCCCACTCAGCATGATAATGATATACACCTCTGCCCAGTCATCTCTTTGTAACTCTGGTACAACTCAAAGTATGACAGCAAAGGCAACATACTGTACATTGCGTATCTGTTTACCCTACCTCAAGGAAAATGCAGCTTAATCCAGTGTTTTTTACATTAATGGCAAAACATTTACTTCAGAGTGCCTCTATACTTGGGGAAATGTGTGACAGTCGTACTTAATCCAGTAGACCTGAGGTGGAGTAAATCCGCTATCTTCATCTTTAACCTTGTTAACATTACTTAAATCATAAACAGCTTTTCATCCACGGGGCTTTAGCTACACCAGTGAACAGCCATAGCTCCCTCTATGGGGCAGTATCTTTAAAGGGACACACTAAGATTACTTGTGTCAGCATTCTAGCTTAGTGGTGGCATTGTGTTGACACACAACAGATGAATATAAAATCTTACAAAAAACAAAAATGTGCTTGAAGCAAAGCCCTGCAAAAGTATTTTTTATATGCACAAATATAGTACACACACACACGCACACGCTCACACAATCTTGAGTGTCCCTCCCAGCAGGCACAATCACACTCAGGCAGATAATTCAGTGTCACAGAGAGCCTTGTCTCTGACCCTCTGGCCCCCTCCAGACAGAGGAAGCAGCTGGACAGGGACCCACGGCTGCCTAGAACTCACTTCCCTTGGGGAGCTTAAAGAAGAAGAGTCCCTCTCTGCCTCAGAGAATGACCAGCTGAGCATCAGTATGCCACTGTACGGCTATGTCCCTGTGTCCAGAAAGGCCTAAGCAGGATGAGAAAGTCTTCAAAATCTGCAGCAGCACAATGCTTTGAGTTAACACCCTGATGAAAAATATATCACAACTAGCTTGGTTTTGCAATTAGATCCATTCTATTCTGTGAATATTCTCTGCCCCCAGTTCATAGGATTGGATTTTTTCTTTGTGATTGTGTTTGAATATTTACCTGCTGTTCAGAGGTGCAAACCACATTACTTACAAAAGATTTATTTTACAAAACAAGGACATATAGCTAATGATGTACCCATTTTGCACCCATGATTAGCAATGACCACACCCATTTTTAGGTCTAAGACACATCCATGCAGTTCTGTAAAACCTAGAACCTATACAGTATATGACAAAGGAATGACGTTTTTCCAAGTAGAAATCTGCAGTAGCAGTGATAACCAGTACATGTAAACATACTGAGTGTGAGACTCGATATTTTTAAATGCACGCATGAACACATGCGCACACACACAGAGCCCCCCCTTACTAAGTGCGTATTAATATTGTATGGTTAAATGGGAAGTGCTAAGATTTTTTCAATTGCCTTGGCAGCCTGATGAAATATTAAACATTCAGAGAGTTTTTGTTGTAGCGTAATACCAAGGAAGGGTAAACATGAAATAAATAACGGATTTTAAAGGAAATGTGACACATAATGCTGAAATACTTCCTTTTAGTTCAGACAGATATCACTTTTTCAAGATTTACAAATAGCCAACAAAAAAATTAAATGTACAGTTTTGGTGCATTTCAGCATCACTTAAATAAAGCAACTGAACTCACTCAATCGTAACTTCTGATTCCTGAATAGTGTTTGCACCGTTTGGTATGATTAGGCTTTTAATACATTGACATAGCTGCTATTACTAAGTCGGCTTTAAATCTTATGCATATTTGCCCCTGCCAGCTCTGCCATTAGCAGTTCCACAGAGATGCAGCGTCTCTCGCTACTGCATCTTAATCAAATCTTGAAGCTTGATCTTAATCAAATGGGCACGATTAACTTTTTAAAAGAATTAACACTTTTATTCAAAAATGAAAAAGTCAAGAACAAGTACAAATATAAACAAAGCAGACAAGTCAATCTGAGTCCGAGTCGCTCTGAGTTTTAATGATCCGTTCTGTTGGACTTTCACTCAGGGTCCCAAAACTATGTGGTGGCCAGAGCTGTGCGGGACAAAGGGCGACAAAGAAAGAATGGATTAAAAGAAAGAGAAGACTGGCATAAGTACAGAATAAAGGTGCTTCTAACCATATTGCACACTTTATCACACGGTGTGACACATTTGCTAATATGAATTTTAATGACACCATTGACATCATAGCAAATCCTGTGATTTCATCAGCTGTCATAGTAGGGCCTCCAGTGGAGTGCTGCTGTCCAATCAGATGGACAGAAGGTTGGCTGACCCGTTTACAGGGTCGTGGTTGATATGACATCCAGTGACACGACAACATAGCAGAATGGAAAGCTAAACAATATGTTGGCTAGGCTTTGGTCAATCAGATGCAGTTGCTTTGAACTTTTAACTGACTCATGGCATTAAATTGTGCTTAAAACAGACATTGTTTGATAATAACAATAATTTTAAAAAATAATAAAAGACTAGAAACACACACACACACACACACACAGGTTGGCCATGAGCTCAGTCCCTAAAACTCTTATAGGAAGAAACTCCACAAATACCCCACACATTTGTTATGCTTTTTTAAATATACATATATGACAATGTAGAGTAGACCTCCCCCATTACCTTTAAGCAAACACGCCCTCGGATGAGGGCATAGGGAATTGGGCCATAGTTCCTTGAGTCAGTAGAATTCCTAAGGTTATCCCCTTCTAGCCACACATGGCCTTTTGGAACCTGGAAACATTGGCACACATTGGAAGAAGGCAAAAACAAAAGTTCATAATGTAAACAACTCCAGTCCACAAAAACAGAATGAGATAGAAGTCTTAGAGTCTTAAATTGCACCATTACTCAACTTTAAGAGACAAGTGATTTGATCTCATTTAGCGAGAACCCCTCCCCATATTCCAGACAACCCTCCCTCCTTAGCCTATCTTAACGTTAACCTGCTTGTCCCTCTTTAACCTTGCACCGTCTTAGGAGAGGGGTCATGGGTAACGGGCAGGGTCGGCGAGAAGGGATTTAGAAGAACTTCAAACAGGGTCATTAGGCTGTTGGCTGAGATCTGAGCCCCTTTTACCCAAGGAGGGCAAAGCCAGAGAGAGGCCTGAGATAGCTGGGCAGCAAAAAGAAAGGGAGCAAGAGAGGAAGAGAGAGAATGAGGGAGAGCTAAGCTGCGGCTAGCAGCAGTGTCCAAGGGTCTCCACCGCAGTCCGACCTGCCAGTGGGGCGGTCATCCGAGCGCTCTCTAATTCACAGTGACACCAATTATGATTAATCTCATCACTTTAGGAGAGTGGGCTTGTCAAGTCCCTAATTAAGTGCGCTGTCCTCCCTATATGTGCAGACAGGATCAACAACACATTATATTGTCATAATGGGCATCACAATCCGCGAGTCTATTTTTGTGTTGCCTAACTTTTTAACGGCAAAAGTCCTCTGGAGAAAGAGAATAACGTGAATAAAGACAGAATATTATCCGCACTGAGGTAACGTCACATCTTTCCCTCTGTATTCCTTATCAGCCGGCTCTCTGATTAGAGTCTTGAGTACTACTGTGGGATGCTGCATTTCATTTCATATTTGATAATTGAGACAGATGATGTGACATAATCACAAGCCAGTGACACGTTGACCTAACACGAGGTAAACAACTCACTGAATAACGACGACACAAATGAATATCATTAAAGGAGTCATCTGAGAACCATATGTCAGCATGCTGGATTCTCACCATTACACCTCATTAACATGGTAACATATGCTGGCTCCCAAGCACAGGAAAAAGAAACACAACCGTTTGTCATCTGCCAAATCAGAACCCCCCGTTTCTCCACATTCTCATCTTTTTTAAAAATATTATCTCTACTGTGCTTATCTTAAAGGTTACTTAGTCAGTACCTCTTAAGAATTTGTGCGTAGTGTAAAAATCATTGAAAAGCAAAAACTCCTGATGGCAAAATTTCTATTTAAAGGCCTAATCAAAAACACTGATTCAGACCAGCAACGTCTGACTGACAACAGCACTTTGTTTCAGCGTTTATGAATCAAACCAAAACCTGAGTAAAGTCTGACTTTAAAGATCCACTAGGCAGTATTTCACCAAGTGAAAAAGTGAAGAGGTCTGAAACTTGAACCTGCTGCACTGCGACCAGCATGAGGATGAACGCTTATTCATATCACTTTGTAGGTGTGTGAATAATCCAAAGGAAAAAATAAATAAATAAAATTAGCAGGTCAAGAGAAAATCTCTTAATTACAATGAAATGGATGCAAGATAGTCACAAACTAAACGATGCACATTTCAAAGAGTGTTTTTCAAAGAAAACTGCAGTTTCAGGCACAGGTAAAGAGAAGACTATGAGAAACGCTCGATTTCTTTTTGGGTACACATCAAGGTTGTAATTAAGATGTTTCTCTGTCCACAGGGTGTTGACATAAACCAGTAATTTGTCATTTTACCACATAATAGCACCAACATGTTTGATTTTGACAGAGGAGCCGTTATCAACAAATGTCATTTCTAACCACATGTATTTCCAAAAATCCTGTTAGGCTCAAAACCAGAGCTGTTGCAGTTAGAGGCGGAGTCACTTTGATCAGCTCCGCCTGCGACTCTGGTGTGATGGATGGCAATGACTGCACCCATCCTGTGGTTGCAGGTTGGGTTGACGCCAGGCATTGTGTAGCTGTCAGAGACATGTCGAGAAGAGCTGAAACAGGAGCTGTATTCACTGTGGAGGTGTGTTGTTTAACAGCTACACCATTAAAGTGCTCATTATGTTAACATGATTGGGGTGGGGAATTATGTTAAAGCTTAATACAGGAATACTGAGTTCATCTTTCATCATATTGCTCTGTCTATCTTTACTGCAAAGAACAGAAAGCATAGCGTCATTTCATCGCTCTTATTTCTTGTCTCTCCATCTCTGGTATAATATTAGGGATCAAGTGTCATTGTTTTGACACAATAGCTCTGACACAGAAATCATTCCTAAAAGGTGACAGGGCAATTAGTGTGCTGTTGGATAGCTGAGGGTGGAGAGGGCCTGCCTGTCTGTCAGAACAGAAAATGAGGTGTTGACAGGGTGTAACACTCCCTTCCAAAATTCATCTTTACAGGTCCACCCATAATGCCTCACACTATTGTAATAATCACACAAACAGATCTATCCATCTGCTGGTGGGTAAAAAGCACCAAACACACATACATGTGCAAACTGTAATTAATTATAATGACTTTGACTTAATCTAGCAAAGATGTTACAAAGAGACACTGCCCTTTTAAATTAATGCTCTACTTAAAAATGAACAAAACAAAAAGCAAAACAACCAATGAAACTAACTGGTAACTGTGGTGTTGCACCTGCTTACACAAAGAGATATCCTGGTTTCTGAAACCCCAATATACACATTATATCTTTTACCGGTCGTCAATGATGATGATAATTGGATCACTAGTTGGCAAGCTGTGATTCAGATGTTCTTAGTAATTTGATATATAGTCCATCCAACTGAGATACTAAACCTCCGAATGGACTTAAATGAGTGAATTAAGGTGAAAGGACATGTAAAGTGAGTCTAAGTCATATAATAATAGCTCTCCACCTAGTGGCAGATATATATA